CTCTAGAGGCTTCCCTGAAGCCTCCGGAGGGTGAAAAATGGCCGAAAATCAAGGCCGAAGTCAGCTGGCCAGTGCACTGGAGTTGACAGGGCAACGCCTTGCGTGCCCTCAGAAATGGCTCCACGTGCCACCTGTGGCATGCGTGCCATAGGTTCGCCATCACGGTGCTAGTCTCTCTCCTACAGTGGAGGACATTTACTATTACTAGCTTACAAAATAACGTAAGTGCAGGACCTCAGACAGACAATACAGCTCAACTGCCAGTCTTTAGCACAGCTAACGTGATAGGATTATTTGGTGGGGGGGGAGATAAAAGGGGGTAACCTTCTGGACACCTGAATTCCATGGAAGGATAACTGGAGCCAAGTGAAATAAATTGTCATTCAAGCTACTGCTGCAGAGACCAGAATAACTATTACAAGCTGTTTATCCAAGGATGTGCCAAAAAAAATAGCAACGATGGTTTAGTACAATTTTGTGAAAAACAAGTCTCTTTTCCCCCAACAAAAGACCGATGGAAAAAGGAACAGAACTAATTAGCCAATGAAGGGACTTCGTAAAGAGTACCAGCGAAATTCAATGGAAGCCAAAGTCTGGTATGACATTGATAGTCTGCCTGTCTTTAATTATAGAACTCAAAAGGAGAATAGGCAGGGATTGCATTGCTGTTTTACATCCTCGTACTAGTAACAGCCAGCATGATCATCTTTGCTTCACTGAAGTTACAATATTGCATGCCTTCCAAACATGCCCAGGGTGCTTCATTCCTTGTCAGAAAAGACACAAGAGGTACAGAATGGCTGATAAAGAATGACCATCTAAAGAATTATGAGAGCTTTTGACAGCAGCAAAAGTATCCTAGAACAGGAGTGTCCAACCTTGGCAACTTTAAGACTTGTAGACTTCAACTCCCAGAATTCTCCAGCAAGCCATGCTTGGGAGAAAAAGCCACAAGGGGACACACACACACACACACACACACACACACACACACAAACTGCAACATTTTTCTAGCTTTCCCAATGACTCCGCTTGTGAGAAGTCAGCAGGGAAGGTGGTGAATGGCAGGTACGTGATCAGGGGATGCTACCTCTCTCTGAATTACCACAAGCTGGTATCCCAATCCTGATCACAGGATTCAGCCAAGGCTGAAAGTTTGAGGACTGGTCATAATTCCCTTAGTTCAGCCCTGTTGTAACTTCACGCTGTACCTGAACAAGTGGCTGTTGCCCGGAAGGTTACCTGTAATAAGTGACACATGTTCAATTCTTTGTTGAAAATCACCTTTTTCATTCTGCCAGAATCCCAAGTAACCTGCAAAGCATCCCTTCTACTTTCACCATTACAAGTAAACTATGAGTTGGATGGGCACTGACCAGTAAACCACTGAGTTTCAACAGCTGGGGTGGAATCGAAGCTGAAGCTGATCCAATATCTTAACAACTACAGGTAGTCCTCGACTTACAACAGTTTGTAACACTTTGACCATTCAAAGTTACAACAGCATTGAAAAAAATGACTTATGATCATTTCCCACATGTATTACCATTACAACATCTCCATGGTTACATGATCAAAATTTTGATAATTGGCAACTAACTCATATTTATGACGGTTGTAGTATCGTGTGATCCCCTTTTGTGATCTTCTGATGAGCAAAATCAATGGGGAAACCAGATTCACGTAATAACTATTACTAACAATAACTGCAGTGATTCACATAACAAATGTGGCAAGAAAAGTCGCAAAAGGGGGAAAACTCACCTAACAAATTTTTTACTTAGAAACATAAATATTGTGGTCGTATGTTGTACTCATGTACTCATTTAGTATTTTTCCTATTAAATTAAATGCCAACAAAAATTCAGGGAAACAATAGCCGTATCTTGCTCCTTTTTCTAAATTTCTAGTATTTGGTGTGTAGGATTCTAATCTTTGTGATAACCATGTTATCATGATAAGAGACACTCAAAAACCAATCTTCCATTATCTAGTCTTCTTTTAAAAGCCCAAACTGCGTTGCACCCGTCCTCCTCCATCACTTCTTTTTTTATAACATATCTATTACATCATCTCGAAACCAGTGCAAACCAGGGATGCAGTAGAGACTCTACACCTCTGTGGTTAAATGAAGTTTTCTTTGTTAAGCTTGACTTTGGTGACTGGATACATACACACCCTATACCTTTTTTGGCAATAAATGCAATGATCTCAAATTCCAGAGACAGGAGTCAGATAAAGGTTTCTCCCAAAACTGTCTTCTAAGCAGGCATTTTCCAATGTTTTCATCTAGTGATTCACTATCAACATCCTGAAAAAGTGGTCTATGGAAATCCTTCATCAGCAATGATCTCATGGAGCACTTACAAGTATTAGTAACACACATTCTTTCCTCTGTCAAACATGGGTGCGCTTTCAAAGATTGTGGAACCAGCTTTAGCCTCTTTCACTGCAACTTATGCATGTGATTAATGCCTATTAACAACTTTTATATTGTTTTTCTTAATTCGATTATGTCACTCTTGACTGATGAAAGACTATAAAGAAGAACTAGGGTGTGTTGGGTTACAAATCTAAAACAAAAGTTATAACCCAGGTAGTGTTAAAACTAAGACTAAACCAAAAGAAACATAAATATCTTCCTTACACCATTGAACTATGGTTTCCAAATTCTCCAACCAGCATGATCAAAAGTGGCTGATTTAGTATCTAATCCATTCATTTTTTTTCTTGAAAAGTTAGCAAAAATTACAAATCTGCTATCCTCTACACTAGAGACAGGGTTCAGATAAGAATCTCTCTCTAAAACTACCTTCTTAATAGGTACTTTCCAATGTTATCATCTAATGATTCAGCATCCTGAAAATGTTTCTTAAGGAAGCCACAAAACACACCCATTTTTATCCCCATTAGGCCTAGAGCTTCAGCACTCTGATGGCTCCAGAAAGCAATTGTAGAATCTGTAGCAACCAGGTTCATTCATTGCCTCATTGCTCTCTGGATACTTACTTGTCTACTAATGTCCGAATTACTGCCAGCGTATCAAGTACTAACACATCAACATTATGTTTTTTCCTTCTGGGTTCATGTGGCCCCCTCCCCCTCCGGGGGGGCCGTACTGGATCCCTCTGATGGCTCCTTGTTTCAGGTACAGGCATTCTGCTGTTCTCTGCCTGGTGATTCCTGGATTCTGCATTCTCTTCTGCACTGCTGTCTTCTCGGCAAACACAGGAATTGCCCATGCTGCTAACTCCCAAGGTTTGTAGCAAACAGAGAATATGCCGTTCAAAGGTCAGCCGTAAACCTTGCAAAAGGTTTCTGCTTGCATAGAGCACAACCAAAGCAACAACAATCATCTAGACAGTTTTAAAATCAATGTTTTTGGGATGTTGAATTGTAGCCTTTGCATCATACAAGTTTGTAAAAACTGGAACAGGCAGGAAATGGTTGGTTTACTTTCTGACATCATCACTGGTGATACTCATTGGTTATCCAAAATAGGCCTGCAAAAAAAAAACAAAGAACACCCAAAATCAATCTGGATTTAAATTATAACAAAGCCAACAAGCCCCCCACACTTCCATATTCAAATCATAGGTTTTTTAACAACAGCATGTCATTGTGGCTTAAACTTGCCAGTTACCTTTAGCAGAAAATAGAAAGTCTGGAATCTGTCCCACCTGCAAACTTTGCCTGCTTATCCCAAAATTTGCTAAAGTCACCAACATGCTATTTCTTATTATCTGTCTTAAGTTCAGACCCTTTGTTATTCAGAGCTACCTCAAGGACAATAAGCTACAGCGGCCACAATTTTCTTTTTTTCTCTGTAGCATCTCCCCATATTAGAAAGTTTTGTGTTCTTTGCAAGAAGTAAATTTCCAGCCTTTGTCTTCTTTCGCTGCCTATCAAGAATAGATTGATTGGTTCCAAGAAAAGACAAAGGGAACACCAGCCAGTTCAACAGATGACAGGAGGAGCAACCGAGGCCACATATCCTATTTTTCGGATTTTAAGATGCACCTTCCCCCCCCCCCAAAAAGCGTGAAAATCTGGGTACGTCTTATACACTGAATACAGCATTTTTGGCCTCCTGAAACCCCACACCCGCGAATCCTGTTTTTTGCAAAAATGGANGTCAGTTTTGCCCCAATTTACAAGCATTCTTACCATTGTTAAGTGAATCACCACAGTTCTTAAACTAACAAGACAATTGTTAAGGAAATCCGGCTTCCCCATGGACTCTGTTTGTCAGAAGGTTGCAAAAGGGGACACTGCGACCGTCATAAATATGAGTCAGTTGCCAAGCGTCTAAATTTTGATCACATGACCACAGGGACGTTGCAGTGGTCATAAATGTGAAAAATGGTTATGTCTCTTTTTCTGTGCTGGTGTAATTTTGAATGGTTACTCAATGAAGGACTGTAAATCGAGGACTACCTATAATCCTAATTATGACAAAGTTCTGTATCTAATCTGTAGAATGCTCACACTCTACTCTGTTCAACTATCCAACTAATTCTTAGATCATCCTTTCTTCAAGGAGCTTAAACCAGCAGTTATATCTTGCCTTTTATCCTTACAACCATTCTGCTAGTCCAGTGATAGTGAATCCTTTTCGCCTCGGGTGCCAGACGCACGCACTCACGAGCATAACCATCCCCATAATTTAATGCCCCCCACGCTGTGACCCCTGTGCATGTATGTGTGCCCCCCCTGGCTTTCTTGGAGCTTGGGGAGGGTGAAATTGGCCTCCCCGCTCCCTCGGAGCCCCTCTGGAGGCCAAAAACAGCCCGTTTCCGATTTCTGGTAGGCTTGATAGGTCCGTATTTCACCCTCTCCAGGCTCCATAGGCTTTCTAGTAGCCTGGGGAGGGTGAAAACGGCCCACCCCGCCCACCCGGAGGCCAGAAATGGCCTGTTTTCCGACTTCCGGTTTGCACGTTGGGCCGTTTTTCACGCTCTGGAAACTTCAGGGAAGCCTCCTGAAGGTGAAAAATGGCCCAACGCACAAACTGGAAGTTCAGGAATGGACTTTCAGTTTGCTCATTGGGCTGTTTTTCTCTCTCTAGAGGCTTCCCTGAAGCCTCCGGAGGGTGAAAAATGGCCGAAAATCAAGGCCGAAGTCAGCTGGCCAGTGCACTGGAGTTGACAGGGCAACGCCTTGCGTGCCCTCAGAAATGGCTCCACGTGCCACCTGTGGCATGCGTGCCATAGGTTCGCCATCACGGTGCTAGTCTCTCTCCTACAGTGGAGGACATTTACTATTACTAGCTTACAAAATAACGTAAGTGCAGGACCTCAGACAGACAATACAGCTCAACTGCCAGTCTTTAGCACAGCTAACGTGATAGGATTATTTGGTGGGGGGGGAGATAAAAGGGGGTAACCTTCTGGACACCTGAATTCCATGGAAGGATAACTGGAGCCAAGTGAAATAAATTGTCATTCAAGCTACTGCTGCAGAGACCAGAATAACTATTACAAGCTGTTTATCCAAGGATGTGCCAAAAAAAATAGCAACGATGGTTTAGTACAATTTTGTGAAAAACAAGTCTCTTTTCCCCCAACAAAAGACCGATGGAAAAAGGAACAGAACTAATTAGCCAATGAAGGGACTTCGTAAAGAGTACCAGCGAAATTCAATGGAAGCCAAAGTCTGGTATGACATTGATAGTCTGCCTGTCTTTAATTATAGAACTCAAAAGGAGAATAGGCAGGGATTGCATTGCTGTTTTACATCCTCGTACTAGTAACAGCCAGCATGATCATCTTTGCTTCACTGAAGTTACAATATTGCATGCCTTCCAAACATGCCCAGGGTGCTTCATTCCTTGTCAGAAAAGACACAAGAGGTACAGAATGGCTGATAAAGAATGACCATCTAAAGAATTATGAGAGCTTTTGACAGCAGCAAAAGTATCCTAGAACAGGAGTGTCCAACCTTGGCAACTTTAAGACTTGTAGACTTCAACTCCCAGAATTCTCCAGCAAGCCATGCTTGGGAGAAAAAGCCACAAGGGGACACACACACACACACACACACACACACACACACACAAACTGCAACATTTTTCTAGCTTTCCCAATGACTCCGCTTGTGAGAAGTCAGCAGGGAAGGTGGTGAATGGCAGGTACGTGATCAGGGGATGCTACCTCTCTCTGAATTACCACAAGCTGGTATCCCAATCCTGATCACAGGATTCAGCCAAGGCTGAAAGTTTGAGGACTGGTCATAATTCCCTTAGTTCAGCCCTGTTGTAACTTCACGCTGTACCTGAACAAGTGGCTGTTGCCCGGAAGGTTACCTGTAATAAGTGACACATGTTCAATTCTTTGTTGAAAATCACCTTTTTCATTCTGCCAGAATCCCAAGTAACCTGCAAAGCATCCCTTCTACTTTCACCATTACAAGTAAACTATGAGTTGGATGGGCACTGACCAGTAAACCACTGAGTTTCAACAGCTGGGGTGGAATCGAAGCTGAAGCTGATCCAATATCTTAACAACTACAGGTAGTCCTCGACTTACAACAGTTTGTAACACTTTGACCATTCAAAGTTACAACAGCATTGAAAAAAATGACTTATGATCATTTCCCACATGTATTACCATTACAACATCTCCATGGTTACATGATTAAAATTTTGATAATTGGCAACTAACTCATATTTATGACGGTTGTAGTATCGTGTGATCCCCTTTTGTGATCTTCTGATGAGCAAAATCAATGGGGAAACCAGATTCACGTAATAACTATTACTAACAATAA